CACGTTCCTCCATCAGCTGCTGTACCCGATGATCAAGAACGAAACGAAAGTTGTCAAGGGTGACATTTTTCCGCCGCAGGCGCAANATAGATAGCTCCTTGTCTTCCAGCGTTGACTCACGTTCCTCCATGTGGCGCTTGAAATGGCGCAATGTGGCTTCTAGTTNTGCGTTGCGGACTTTCTCTGCAGTCAATAGAACATTTCGCGCATGGCTTGAGGTTTTCAATTCATCCATTCTTTTTTCCAGCCGCGAGATCTTGGTATTTCTTGTTTGAACCAAACCTCTTGCCTCTGCTGTATTTTCACGTTCCGCTGTCAACTCAGCCTGGGCCGCAGCCATGAGTTGCTGCAATTCTGTTTCGTATTCATGTTCCTGTTGGTCGAGGACCTACAACGCGCTTATGCCAAGCGTTTGTACGCTGAAACTTTGCAACGTCGAATCACCTCTCGAAACATCTGTTCATTGTGCTTCGCATCTTCGTGGAGGCGATCTATCTGCTGCCGGAGTTCTTTCTCGACCCGCTTTGTGCGCCCCTCTGCATTGCGAATGGCTGTTTCATGTTCCCTCTGCTGTGCCTCCAACAGTCCTTCGCAACGCTGCTGAATTGCTTCTATTTCTTCTGAAAGCCTATCGTACCGCTCCATTTCTAGTGCCAGTTTATGCTCATATTGATTTTCTAGCTCATGAGTAACTTGGATGTGGTGCGAGCCCTTGCGTGCTGCGTCTGCACGATATTCACGCATACTTTTTTCGTGCCTATCTTGCAGCTCTTCAAAACGAACCCGCTCGGCGGCTAGCAAACCCTCACGTTCGTCCTGTGCATGCTTTAATTCTGCTTCCCAATCCAAATCCTTCCTATGGAGTGCAAAGTCATTTTCACTCCTCTGATTTTCCAAGCGCTTTGTCATTTCTGCAACTGCATTAGCGTTTTCTTCTAACTCTTCCAAGCTCACCTGAACAATATCAGCGCCATGGGCGAGATTTGGTGCAATGAGTGCAGACTCCAACTTCCCAGAGAGCACCGCTACATCGAAAGTCTTGTTCGGCATGCTCTGTTTTTCCATGTTGGAATGCACCATGAACACAAAGACAACACCATCATCTCCTGCTGAAAGCAAGAGAGAGTCCTCAGCCGCGATGCGAAGTGCGATTATGTTACCAGCGTGAGCTGGAAATTCATAATAGTCGCGCAAAGATCCATCTTCAGCCGCGATCGTGGGCCAGTCGAATGCGCGGATTGCTCCGGAAGATGTCCCAGCGAATAAAAACTGCGAAGACGACGCGACAGCCAAAGCTGTAAATATCACTGGCAGGCTATTCGCTCCAGTATTGAGATCGCCACTATCTTCTGCA